TTATGCTAAAAAGCCTTTTACGGTGTATTTTGGGTCCGTTCCCACGATTTCTATCCATAAAGTTATAAAAGCGATCTTAACACATCGCGCAACGAATATGAAATTGGTTACAATTTAAATCTACACTTAAAGAATCAAAGGCTAACTTACACATGGCGCCGCAGCACCAGTGACGCGACTGCCATCCATGTAGCATGATCAACTGAAATCGTACATTAGTAGACGATTTTACGGCGCCGTGTATAATCACCATTACAGTATATTTTTGTATACATTGGCGTTCTGACATTACTCAGTCGTTTCCCTTTATAATGAAATAATGTAAGACTGTCGATCCCAAAACGCTTTGCAACCGACTTCAGAAAAGGAGGAGGTTCTCAATTCATCTCATATTTTTTGTGTGTATGTTATTAGAATACTCCGACATCTGTGAACCAATTGCGGTAATTTTGTGTTGGAGATGAGATGAGGGGTATATAAAATTTTCCACCTCTGAATTATCACTCGCAAATAAGGAGATGAATCCGGTTTATTGAATTTCACATACATTCCGTTAACCGATGTAATGCCAATGAAAATAAAATATTATGGTAACCTGGAGCTGACGTGATGATGGAAACGCCAGACAGGTAAGAGGAACTCAACAGTATACCGCAGCTACTTTTTTACTACTAGATTAGGATTAGTTTTGACGAGGATTTAACAAACATAGCGGAACAAAACGGATAAGCAACCTTCCGAGTTCGATTTTTTGTTTTAAAAGTTATTTATGTTATTAAGTGTCTATGACGGGTCTCCAGAAGAGGGATAATTCCATAATTCACCATTCTAGTCTAATGTGGTTAGGACTTTACACATTTTCAATGGTATTGCAACGCATATAGAGCACATCAGCTAGTGGTATATTATAGTATATTTATGTCGTAATTACAGGAAGAAAATTTGATCAGGAACTTCTGCAGGGCACTTAGTTTTTATTTTAGGAAATACTTAAATGTCAATATGCATTGGTTGGTTGTTAGCATCTATTTCCAGCTGCTATGCCACTACTGCCCGATACGGGAACACTGCTGTTTAATACTGCGCTTAGTGCAGACGACCGATCAGAACTCCCAATCTCAAATCTTCCAGTTCCAATAATAAATTTGATCTATCAAGACATCCTGCAGGATAAAGTGAAAGGAGCGACCCACTCTAGCTACCCGCGCGTCTTAAGCACAAACGTTCAGCTAAAGAAATTTCTCAAGGTCATCGACTTCAAGTACACTGGGTTTGTGATTTGAAGAACTAACCCGTATACAACACCGGTATAACTTTCCGATATATATGGATCAATCGGGCCGAGGAAGCGCGGGTTGTGATAGCCAATACTGGACACGGGGGACATGCACAGGCCACCCATCTTGCTGATCTCCCGGAGGCCGTGAGAAGAATGATAGCACTTGCTTTGGACTTTGATGCTGCTATACAAGCTGATACTGATACCGAGAGGTTTGGCAGTATTGGTATCTTTAGCTGTTGGATAAATAACAAAATAACAGATTAATTTTGGTCCGTTTTTAGGGTAATTAGTGGAACAACTTAATCAAAGTTGATAGAAAATTTATAAACCTTTAGCAAATTATTCTGAGGGTTTAGGAATCATTACACACAGGAAGTGAAATTATTTTTTCGGATCTAAACCTCGTATATTTGTTTTTCAAACAAACCAAAATTTCGGGCCCTTTACAGACTCACAGTTGACTGAGATGGTAATGTTATCAACCAGTTATGTCTAATATTAACGCAAACCACCTATTTTTTTCAAGTGTAGTTACAAAAGGACTCGCATCAACAGGATGCATATGGTCATGAACGCATCTTATCTTTCTCTATGAAATCCCAATTTTAAATTGTTATAATGCAAAGTCAATAACAAACTAAGCTTTAATCATATGTGGCATATGGCTAAATTTAAAACTGAAATAAATTTTGAGAAAAGGATGCCTTACCTGCTTTGAAAACTCAATGCAATCTTTTGCAGGTCCTGAAATATTTTCCAAATAACATATGGCAGTAAATAAGGACTGAATAACTTCCGAAGACTTCCCTTTGGGATCTTCCAAAACGACACCGTCCAGTCGATTATTGTAAACCTTCTGAGCAAATGGTAATATGTCTCTTCGTTGATTTCCAGCATATTCCTCTACAATGTTAGCGTTGTAGAAAAATATTGGTTTGTGTGTCTGAAAAAAGGGATTTCTGTCTTAACGAAATAAAGTTACTCATTAATGATAATATTTTAATCTACCTTCAACGAACCTCTTTGCAGATCTTTAAAGCGCTTGGACAGAAATCAAGGTTTCTTCTCTCTATTTCATCTTCATTCACAGAATCCACTATAACTCCATCAACAACCTACATAACGATAAAATTTGAGCTGGATTAATGTCTAAAAAAGTTAATATAAAGCTGTGGATAAATTATCACTCTAACACCTTACTGATCTCAATAGACCATCAACTAGCAGTAATATTAAGTTAAACAGCTTGAAGCCCATATATAATGGTAGATAATCAAAAATTGATTCCAAAGAATTTAGAAACTAATATTAAAGAAGTGATAGCAGTAAAATAGTAGCAGTAGAGCTCCTTGTGTAAGAGTTCGTCCAGGGAAGTACTGCTACCTTACCTATTTATGCCGCCAAGTAGTAGTGTGAGCATTATTACGTTCCGGTTTCGTAGGGTAATGTGGTAATGGTGAAATTACAGGCACATTGATCTTGTCAACTTAAGTCTCAGGGCGTCGGGCGCAACGGCAGTGCCCCTTAGGTTTTGTGATTTATGATGGCACTCCCACTATTACGGAAGGTTACTTAGTTATTATTAAAAAAGTAACTTTAACTATTACAGAAATTAAGCGATCCATATCTTCAATGTACAACTCCGCAATCCAAAGAAGAATAGGTGTGTTGGGAACAATTTTTGCCTGCCGTTTCTTAAATTCAATAACGTCTTGACGTTTCATTGCATCCTTTAGAATTATAATATCAACCTGAAATTTGAGGTTAATGTTAGCCTTAAGAACCCGGAGCATTGGTTTGATTTGTAAAAAAAAACAAATATACGCTATTTAGTTAATTTCATATCCAATGCACAGTGTTTACTATAATAATTTTGATATTTACTAATCGTTACTTTTAGAAGATTTCTGATTACATTTATATTAGATTGCTGGAAAGACATAGCCTCCTCTGTTTGTACTTGTTTCAATTGTCTATAGTAGTAGATTTAGTCCCTTAAATACAACTTGGACATCCACGTGTTAAGTATCCTTAGCTAGTGACAAAGCTCCTTTTTTATTGCAATTTCAATGACTTACATTTTCATCACATTCAGCAGGATCGTTCAAGGATATGGTAATGGACAGAGCTATAGGCCTGTAGTGTATCATTTTCTGCATCTCTTGCAACTCTTTTATGGCATTTTTAACGTTTAGTAAGTACATTTCATCGTGTACTGTTAGATCTACGTTGAATATTTGTATACCGCAACCCCATAACGAGTAAATTTCATTTGCCGTCAGATCTTTACCTAAAATCAAGCATGGGAAATTCTAACACATTATAAGCTTTCTTCTTTTTCATATGTGGTCATCACGGAGTAGTATGTTTGTTTGGGGCTAATGTTTCTCGCCTCGCTTTGACCATCTCTTTCTGTTGGAGGAGAACTTTCCACGCAGCCTATTGCCCTCTACTCTACTTTCCATGCCGAGACGTTTATAAAGTCAATATTCCATCTTGAAATCTGACCATAACTTCAGAATGAGAGATTTACGAGGTTAGATACCGCTAAATTGGTACTACACTTCTTGCGCCTGATTTTATTTAAGTACTTCATCATCTCTTATTATTGACAGACCAACTTCACCCACTGCTGGGTATAAGCTTCCTGTAGTTGGTGCCGTTCACCACGATCTAGCGTTAGTCCAGCCATCCACGGCCATCCCACCATCGACAGACCACGACTTTGACGATTTCGTCTACCTATCTTGCTGCAGGACGACCCACGTTTCTGTAACCACTTCTTGGCCACCATTCGATTGTCACTTTACTCCATAAATCATCATCAGTGATCGGAATAGGTTGAGTTTACTTATCTAAACATCGAGGAATAGAGACAAAATGGAGATACCTTACGACAACATTATCTTGTCCCAGATGTTACGGGATTCGGCAAATCACTACTGTACATAAAAAAATGACGTTATTGGGAATACGAGGTAGTCTATAATAACCTTGTTTACTTGTTAGCCAGAGGCCTATTATTTCATTCTCTTCCATAGGGTCTTAACTGAAAATCAGTGCTGGGAACGCGTTGCGTTTTCCAGCAAATACTGAGTTTGTGACCCTTTTGTTACCGCGTCTGGCACCACACAAGGTATCTCAATATTTAGTCTTCTTTTTATTACTTGTGTGAATAGTTCCTGTTTTAATTTTATAAAATTTTTATATATACATTTTTGTTTTGTGTTTGTTTGTGTTTTTGTTTCGTAATTATTTATTAGGTTTTACGTTGAATGTTTTGATCGTGTTTTGTTTTAGTTCTGTTTTGTTCCGTTTTCTCTTTTTTTTTGTCTTTTGTCTTTTGTGGTGTCATTGTGGTAAACAAATAAATGTATTTTCTTTCTTTCTTTCTTCCTTTTTCTTTCTATATATTTAATTATGACATGAAAGTCAGATAGTTAAAACGTATGCCTAAAACTACACGAAGAGTGGATCTGATAGTTTTAGGATCCCGTGGGAACCATAAATCAACAGTGTGTTTGAATTACTTATCTTGTTCTAATTACATGTATTATTCCGAAAAATTGGTGGTCGCAGCAACTTATCGCAAAGTTTAGATAAATAGTCCTACCTATCCCAAATACTGTCAATTTTTAATGCAATTAAGCCTGAATTACTGAATACCAAAAAAAAATCCGGGACGTAAAATGTTGTCATAAGGTAGTGTCCATTTACTCTATCTATTCCGATCTCTGATCATTAGCATACTACACCTTATATGTACTTAATATTGTTATATTTATTACTAAACAGTAATGTATAGCTCAGAGTACTTACGGCAGTTAAACATAAAGCCAGTAGAGGCAATAATGATGTCCTTACTAATCTGAAACAGAAATGTTTGCGTAAACCGAGCGATGTGCATAATAATAATAGTAAATAACTGGTTCATTCCAGTTCGCCTTGCTAGCAAATTGAGGCGGTTGGATTTATGTGGCGTATCGCTTCCAGCACTAATGCAAAAAGCAATCCTACTCGATTCGACACGTATTTTCGCCGGTTCGTGAACCTGAGTCCCTGACCTCAGTCGACTGTGCCGTTGCCGAGCAATAACGCTTCTTCCATTTAGAAACTCAGAAACAATATTTTAGGCCAATGGAGAAATTAAAATAGATACTCCAATTAATAATAATAAATTAATTTCAGGTTACTTACAAAACTAAAAGTCATTTTAATCTATGTCGGAGAAAAAAACAAGAAATCAATTACTCACTTCATTATAGGATTTCAAATTAAATATCTTGTTAATCCACCACACCATTTTTAGGTTTTGGCAACCACTAATCAGCCACCGAACCAACGTGAATTTCAAAATGTTATTTGAAAGCTTCGTTTCTTTACAGGTGCCATTTTGAAAATCGTGACATCAATTATTGATAGGTATTAGGTACAAATTAAATAAATAGATACAATGTTTTCTTAATTAAAAACGTAAACATATAAATTCCCATGAAAGTTATGAAAACTGCAAAATTCGTTGCAATTTCTTAAGTGTATTCGAACGCAAGGATTCGAATGTTAAATATCTCAAAAACTCCGAATTGTAATCTAAGTTTGATTTAAGCAACCAAAGCCTACCCAAAATTTAACATAACATCCAAAAAATTACAATCTTATGATCTAAACTTAATGAAATATCGCAAAAAACACCTGAAAATATTTTAAACCGCCACTTCACTAGCCACCTTAGCCCGTTTACGCACTGCTTCCAATTCGTATTCGTTCCAAATCTGAGACTATACAAATCTAGAAAACTCAGACCAAGCAAATGTCGCTTGTGCACTAATTCCGATTCTAATCCAATAAAATACGAATATCACTATTTCTCGGATCCCCTTAACCCTTCCAAACCGGAACGCAGTAAAGCTCATATTGTTCCTTGGCGGCAGAAATAAGGTAGCAGTACTTCCCTGGACGAACTCTTTCACAAGGAGCTCTACTGCTACTAGGAATTTGCTATAAAATTAAATATAATTTAATTAAAAGTACAATTTATTAAAACCTATTTTTTTTTAATTAAAATTAAAAAAGACTGCCATACAAAACTTAGTGCTCCAAAAAGTTAATATAGTCGCGATTTGTAAACCAACAACTCGTGGTGACGTGGTGGTAAGTAGTTGAGGAGTTGAGTAGTCTGCATATTCTCCTAGTTACAGCATCAGATTATTGTAATATATTCATAATTATTGTAATGTATTCAGCATTCTATTATTGTAATGACATCGAATTTCCATAGTATATTAAGTTTCAAGTCGATCGGACTAGTGGATGTAAACTTTATTTAAAACTAGCTTCAAAAAAGTATTGTATTTTTTTTGTACGTTTTTTTGTACGATATTTGTGGAACGATTTGGAGGATTCTTTTCTTGTTACAAAAGGAGTACCTTAGTAGGGGCCCATTGGATATAAGGACGATCTTAGCACTACGCGCAATGGATATGAAATTAGTAACAGTTGAAATGCACGCATAAAGAATGTTACAGTATGTTTTGCGTACGTTAACAATATTCCATTATTTTCCGTTACTACTATCCATTGCCTAAGTAACATACGAATGATTGAAAACAAACGATCCCAAAATGCTTTTTAACGGCTTCGAAAAAGGAGGAGGTTCTCAATTCTTCTGTACTGAGGGGAAAATAAAGGAAAGAGAAGTAGATCAAGAATAGCATTTAATAAACAAATAAAAGTGGACAAAATGAGCATCTATAAACAGTTTAAGTAAACACTTTAACTGCGTAATTATTATAGTATCTAGTGTTCATTTTTTTATTATTATTATCAAGTGCCAGGACGAACAAGTCGTGCGCCTGATGGTATGCTACACGCCTGTCCATAACAGTTGCAGTGCCACTCAGAGCTTTATATCGCAAAGATCCGAGGGGCACTGCCACTCCGTCCGTCACCCTGAGACAAAGTTGTCAAGTACCATGTGCCTGTATTTTCACCAGCACCCTTACCCGGACCGGAACGCAGTAATGCTAACATAACTGCTTGGCGGCAGAAATAGGTAAGGTGGCAGTACTTCCCTGGACGAACTCTCTCTACTGCTGCTAAAAAACTGCTTCTTTCTTTTATATGACATTACCTACTCACGAACTACGACTCCTGGAAAAATTCAATTTATGGATAAGTACTGGTATATACAGGCATATGGGGCTTGTCTCGAGGTGGCGGACGCAGTGGCAGTGCCCGATTTACAGCTCTGAGTGGCACTGCAACTGTTATGGACAGGCGTGTCGCTTACCATCAGGCGCACGACTTGTTCGTCTCGCCAATTATTATATTAAAATATAATCTCAGTACAGAGTACTAAAAAAACTGAGCTCAAAAGTTCGTAGAATTACATCTACACAGAAAAACAGGAATTCTATTAATAAGAAAGAACAATTTCTCAAAATATTTGCTAATTCTGAAAGAATATTTATTATAAGTAATAAAATATTATCATTACAAAAATACTGCTTATCTTTTTCTAATACAATTTTACTCTTAACTTTATTCTAACTTTTAGACAAATACGTTCACTTCAAAATTTTATTTCATTGCTAATCAATTAATTGGATATTACTTACATCAAGAATTTTTTACCTCTTACATCGAATTTAAATAATCTTAAATGAATTCAAAATTTCTTGGGTGTATTTTAAGACAATATACTCTTGGACAAAAAAAGAAGTGTTTTGCTATTCAGATTAAATAATATTCTAAATTCTAGAGTATATTGTTTAAAGCAACATTTCGTTGCGTTTTCATAGTCAATGTTGTCGTGACATGTCGCCGAGGACGCACGCGGTAACGATTCCTTTTACTTACTTGTGCTTGTAATCATAAAAATCATAAACAGTCTTTTTACCAAACGAACAATACTTAGTATCGCTTTGTAATTTGTTAGTGTGTTCTTTGTAGTCATAAATTAAGAAATTGGGTTTCAGCATGAAATCATACTACACTTGTCGTGAAACAAGCATAACTTTAACATGCAATTAGTTCTATCGCGCCACTGCTAGATGGCATTAGTTGTACTCTGAAACGCACTATCGTTTTGTTAACTTCAATAGTATAAGTCATCTCATATGTTTTGAATAGGTAATTCCATATAGATTGACGGCTCCCCACAATAGCCCAATTCATGAAACAGGTATCGTGGAAATACTTCGACTCTGCTCCTCACCACCCCAACCCCCTCGTGGTGGCTGCATCTTCTTACGACCCCCTCAGGGAACAACCCCACCGCGTATATAGGACCCGTCGGCCAAGGGAAGTCCTCAACGACCCTGACGACCTTATCACTCTCGCCACTTTGAAGGCCAACCAGATCGCTAGTCAGTCCCGTCCCTCACGCGCCAACCGTCCTCGCCGGCGAGGTCGTCGAGCCCCTCATTTCAGCACGTACAGTGGTAGATTCTCTCCTACAGCACGCCCTTCTGGCGGAAGTATCCAGTAGCGCCCTGAGCCGAGGTCCGTGCCCACTTGGGCGCCCTCAGGCCCGCTACTTAGCTTTAAGTTTATTTTAGGGGTTATGAGCCTTCAGCTCGCTCTTTTTCTCCGGTGGCGCACTAAAGGCCATCAGCGGCAAAATATCCTTAAAAAAAAGAAGACGTAATACTATCTACCGCTGCAGCATTTATATGGCACAGAACGGCTCTCAAGTGTTTGAGACGATTCCGTCCTATTTCTGATGCTATAAGGTTTGGCACTGCACTGTGTGCTTTCACGCTAGTGGAACATACTTGTGGGTCCAAAACCCTGTAAATTTACCCTTTTTGATATGATACGCCTTTCTACCCTGTCGTCTCAATTCGTCGTACAACCCATTCGTTGACCAGCGTTACACACTTAAGAAAACATAAATTTTCAGTGAAATAATTAAGTACCTCTCAATTTTTCATTCTTTTTTTCAAGTCAAAATCAGAAATTTCTAATAACTAATAAATATTTTGTTGAATCTAGAGTAGCTTTATGACTTAGGTAAATTAATTTCCTGTTAACATTAAATATTTCTATCTTGTAACTAAAATACACTTTTGAGACGTTTTTTTACTATCATCAAGTAATTATTCTCTAAAGTCTAGAGGGGGAGGATCGTTTTCTTTTGTCTTCATAAAAAGAATTTTGTCTCTTTCTAAGTAATCTGTTCTTACCGTGTATTTGCCAAGTTTTGTTGAAATCGGCAACCGGAAACATTGCAACTATTGTGGACAGGCGTGTCGCTTACCACCAGTCGCACGATTTTTATGTTCTTGTCACTTGATATCACCTTTTTACACCTACTTTAAAGAGAAAGTGATTTCGAAAATAAAAACAAAATACACCTCAGTATTCATGAAGTTAAGGTTCTATTTACGTAGGAAATTATTAGATACAAATTATATCGTTTTATGAAAGGCGATGTGGTTTCGCCCATCACATCGTATAGGGAAGAGCTCTTCAATTTATGTACGTAATTAAGTGGAGTTTGCGTTGGAGCCGACGCTCGGCACTTTCCAACGGTAAATGAAATTTACGTACGCCTCCATCTTTTGAACGGAGCACTGACGGCCTGAGGAAAAGGATATCTCTTTATACAATATTTACTCAAATTTCGATTTACTTTGTACTGTTCTTTGACCTGCAGAAACTTCATCTTTACGGCCGAGAGCATTAGGTGTTAATTCAATGTACATAACCTTTGTACTATTAAGTTTTTCTTTTGTGAAATGTTAAGATTATTTATACACAGATTGGACATATAAAAAACGTTTTTCGACCTGATGGTACTTGAACCCATGACCACGCTGTACCGTAGCGCTGCTCTAA